GCGGGGGGGGGAGGGGGGTAAAGCCCCCTTTCGTTGGGGCAAGGCACGGACCCACCGGGACAGCGCGATCCCCTTCCCCCCCCCGTGCGGCTCCGCGGCCGCTGCGCGGGGTCTCGCCCCGCTTTCCGCTCTCCCCGCGGATATTCCGCGCCCCGGCCGTGCCCGTGGGGCCCCGCCACCGCGCCCGGGGCGCGCAGGCCGCGGACAGGCGGGACCGAGGACTCAGTAAAAGCGCAGCGCGCAGGCGAAAGAAACATGGCGCTGGGAAGCAGTATGTGCAAAATCCGCAAGGAATTGCAGTAAATTCCTTTTTGTTTGAAGAAAATTTACAACTTGGTAATAGACCTTTTTATGACCTATTTGGGCTCGTCATTGGCTGCGGCTGGTCATGTGCAGGCAGCGAGCGCTTTCATGGCCTTTTCCTGATTTCCCTGGCGAATTTCCCCCTGCATTCTGCCTTCAGAGAGCCTCAGCCCCTCTTTTCCTAACCTTTGTCTAGGCTGAGGTGTATGGCAGTCGCCCTCATGTTTGTGTCCCGCTCCCCGAAACCGGCCCCGCGCCGCCTCCTCTCCCGCGCCCGCGGGGGGATGCGCGGAGCCCCGCGCCCGCCGCCGCGCCGCCTCCAGCCCCCCGCTCCTCTCCCGCCGCTGGTTGCCCCCGCTGCCGCTACCTCCTCCGGCACACGGATTGCTACGCGGGCGCAAAATGGATTACAGCGACCCTCCCGGGCTCCTCCGCAGGCGGGCAGTGCCGCGAACCGGTAAGCACTCGGCTCCCCTCGGGCTGGCCGCCGGTTCTCCGCGCCCGCGCACCGTCCCGCACCGCGGCACGGCGCCGGCTCCCCTGTCCTCCTGCCCCGCTGGGTCACCTGTCCCTCGGAGCCCCTTGTTATTGCTGTTATTGCTATCGCTATTATCTCTATTGTTGCTGTTGTTGCTGTTGTTGCTGTTATTGCTGTTGCAGTTATCGTTGTTGTTACTATCACGAACTGTTGTGGGCACGCCGCGGGGTGCGTGAGGCTGCTGCGCGGTCTGGCGCGGAAAGGCGCTGCGGGCCGCCACCCTCCGCGCCGAGGGGCGGAAGGCTGGGGCGCAGTGCGCGCAGGCAGCGCCTCTCCCGCCGCGGGGTTCCTTCCAAGAAAAGGCCTTTTTGGGGGCACTTTCCCCCCTGCCAGGCTGAAGCGCGGTGTGGTGGTGCTGTCGTTTGTTTCACCCATGGCGGAAGGGCGCTCGCGTTAACTTTAAAGCTTAACAGGTGTTTTCGCAGGAGAACCGGGGTCACTGCTCCCGCGGGGGCGGAGGGCGCGAGGCGGCCCCGTTGAGCCGGCCGGGCCGGGGGCTCTGCCCGGG